ACTGCATCATTATAGATTAGGAATCGGTAGTTTGAGCGCCATCTAGGAAGCGTTAGCCAGATATATACATAGGGATATTTCTGAATGACGGCAACTTTGCCTGAACCTCCAGTGAGGGAAAGAACTTCGATGGAGCCACTGCTGACAAAGAGAACATAGAGGTAGCTATCACATCAGGAAAGTTGGCAACGGCGCTTACTTTTTCCATAGCATCCCACGCTTCCTACAGACAGTAGCGACTGCTATGTCGCTAAATAGTCGCTAGCCCTCGCTAGCCTCGCTATTCTAACAACTACGAACTCAGCTGGTTTGAACAATGCTAAGTAGAACCAATGCGGCTGTCACAACTTAGAGTCGTACCACCACCATCTACAGCCTACGCACTTAGCACTGCAGATCGCAAGCTCACATTGTCTCAAAGTCCTGTACGTTTCGTTATTTTCTCGAGATATTACCTGACAGAATACGCAGGGACCTACTTCGAAGCAGTTGAGCTTGGTAACATTGTCTTGCTGGTCGTCGGCGTTGTTGGGAACGGATAACCATAGTCGATGAGTGCTTCTATTGAAGACATTGACCTACCAATAAATCTGACACTCCTCGTTTTCAAGTGCTGACCACTTAGACTAGAAGGTGGGTTTTCATCTGTGCTACGTGTACATTCTCAGTGACGGTTTCCACCCAGCACGCAGGACTCAAACTCGAATTCAACACGAAACCGGATGACAGAATAGTGCAGACAATTCCGCTGGTAAGCACAAAGCTTCATTTATCATATATAAACATCTAATGCGTTCCTTAGTAAGGCGAGCTGTTTACAATGTCTAAGTTCGTATCCAAGGCACCGCCGCGCTTGTTATCACCTTATCGCCTGTTGGTATATCAATATCCTGCATCCTGTACCAATGTCTTTATTACTAACAGGAATTTTCCAGATAGTACATCTACCGTATATGTGCCTGTCCTTTAGCAAGTACTGAGATCTTTATTACTCAAAAATTACTGTATTCTAGAGCCTCAGTAAGTGTACATTGAGTTTGTAAATGGTAGCATAGTCTCGAATCTCCGCTGTATTTATTGTATTTATCTGTATATATTTACATGAATAGAACCATTTGATTTTATATATTTAATAACATTTTCTGAATAATCGAAAAATCAGAAAGGATAAATATTATCTGCTATTGAGTCTACGGCCGTTAGCGTTCCTATGATAGTCATCCATAGCTTCCACTGCAGCTATCATACTGAAAATAGAGTCATTTGCCATGGACGCTATGGACAGTATCATAGTGTACATAAAGTATGGACACTATGGACGCTATAGAGGCTATAATTGCCTTTATAGCGTTTGCCAACTTTCCTGATGCAGGGTGTACAGTAAGTATTGTTATACGTAATATAAGGAATACACATACTCAATTCCACGAATGGTAGTAATATCAGTATCCAAAAGATTGCCAGCGAACTTGTATTGCTTAACGATGGGAGACTTGACAACGTTTTTGGGGTCGAAGTTGACCTTGGCAATGATCTTCACACCTTCATCCTAGTAAGAATTTTGTATCAGCTATATAGCATACACCATGGAGTCAAGCTAACATATAATAATGTAGGCATTTCTGGTCTTCTTAGAGAAAGCAGTCCAACAACTATTGGTCTGGTTTGCAATGGGATATGCAGCACCGGTATTGCATCAGTAACAGTGGTTTAGCTCCGGACAGCCACACTATTTCTGGAGCGGCGCACTCTGATCCCACATGCTTCTGGAAGGTCTCAATATCCTGGAATACTTCTGAACATGCATAGATCAGTCCAGGGGTATCCAATTATCTCCAAGTTTCCAAACGTAATATAATTAATAATTTGTGATACTTAACAGCAACATATCTATTTATCATATTCTCTGTATATACTTACAGCTACTTACTACTAATACTAGTAATAGTAATCTTACTCCCTACATTATTTGACGATCACAAAACTCATAGCTTAATGCGCTATTATTTTAGATGCCTTTGAATTCAAGTTGTTATGAGTATGTACAGATAACATCTATTATCTGTCAAATGCGTTCCCTGAAGACTATCTATATACATGGGGGTAGCCTTTATGGTCCCTCAGTTGCAGCCAAACCTCTGTACGAATCAAGCGTCATTACACTGTAGGGATGCCTATAACTATGCGATTATTTTATTTTATTTTAAATCGCAACGCACAAAGTAGCGTCTTACTAGGTTTAAACCATTCCCGCCCTCCTGTCCCTTCTCCTCCAAACTAGACTGATCCTTTGATCATTCAAATCAAATAGATATGGGATCAGTAGTAAGTATTGGTATTACAGTCACAGTCTCACTGTTGTGTTTTTGGCTGTACTTTCCTAGTCGAATTTATGGAGAAACGCTCGCGAGCGATACATTAGGATAAAGCCTGGACTAGTGTACGACCATGGAGGCCATTAGGTGATGAGGCACTCTTACCCGAAGGACGACGATATTCAAACGCAGAAGTACGCAGGTACGTGAAAGAATTGGTGGCAATTTAACAGAGGATCCCCAAGCCCAACGCTTGGATATTCAAACATCACAACCACAAAGCGAAATTGGATCAGCAAGGGATCGGACAACGCAGCCCGCTGAAGCTGCATCTCCAGACTTACGAGTGCAGGATTCGGATGTGGACGTAATCGTGGAAAGAGTTCTGTCTGCGATACGTAGAGAACAGGACGTCCCACCAAATGGTCGAGGACGTTCTTCGGGAGACGGAATGTCCCTACCTAGCGGTATTAGTCGCCATCCATACTTCCCTGCACCTTCCTCGCACCATCCACGGCATCACCAGACTACAGGAGTAGGACTCCGAGTACTGATGGGCATTGAATTGTGGATTCAAATGAGCTCCCCATTGACATTACTTGCAAGTATATTTCAAGTTGGTGGTTTTTATATTATGCCTGTAAAACTCTAACGATGTGAGGAAGATTATAACCATGTATGTATATTATATATTATGAACATAATTGTCGTCCCCTAAAAATCCCCCCTAGTACGATTGAGCATTCGGTGATTCATAGTTCAAATTACATCAGCTAAAATATAGCCCCAGACTGATTGGTTATCTTTTGAGGTATTTACAATAATTGATACTTTAATGCTATTCATTCATTAGACGTTGGCGAAGAAATCACCATGGTACACAGACCGACTTTAGTTATACTGATGGTAGTGTGAGTGTTATTGGCTTTAAGGTACAGATTAATGAACCAGTAACTCCATAAATCAGGTGGGATATTAGAAGTTGATATAAATGCTACGGACATGGTGCGACATCTGATGACCTATAAACTGCTTCGAGTGCTGTGAGTAACGTCATTTCGTGCCAACTTTCCGATCCCATCTGGAGTAAGGTGTCATAATGTCAAGTACATAATGCGAACGTTTCAGGTAAATTTAAAATGAATCAATGCCAATTACTTCTGTCTGTGATTCATCGCAACGTTGAAAAGCACTCGTCTAACTTTAAAATTTGTGTGGCTGGTAGAATGCCCCAGTACAAATTATTAACTGTATGTCTGATCTTCTCAGCACCAGACTGTATAAATACTACTGGTGCAGATAGTACTTGGGATCTTCCGCTCCTGAGCATCCTGTGGTTCCTGAAGCTTGCTACAATCACCAGCTCTGAGCTATCTTTACTTTCAATGCAACCTTTTTACTTCTACTTGCTGCGGCTCGCTTCAGTCGCAGCGTCCTCTCCAGTTTCATCCTTAGCAAACATTATCTCACTTTTACTAAACAATGGATTTGCTCTTACCGTCGTGCAAGTAGCTACTGCGGTCAATACTCCAGCTATAAGCTCCTCGATTGTTAATTCTGGGTTCCCAATCACAAGAGTAAGCTTTTAAACTTATTTCGAATGTCAAACAAAGTTAATCTACTATTTATCCAGTGGGGAATTCAACTCATCAGTATTGAACCTACTTCGTCGACCGTTCAGTTTAAGGTCGCAACGACAGGGTCCTTCCTAACCATCAATCCAACAGATAATGGGACGGCGCTGAATACTATTGGAGTGATAGGGAATCCTGGTAGTTCCAACTCAAGCTTCATGTAGGTTTAGCTTAGATTATCTGCTTAAAGGACTAAAGGTGATCGTGGCCGTGAATATGACCTTTATGCGGTATCTCCGAGACCAGATCCGAAAACGTCCTTACGACCTGGCCTATCAATCGCTCCATTAACAATGTGCTTTTTAATCCGGTGAGTTAAGGCTCGACCATCAATGCAATTTCAGAATACCGTATTGATGGAGTCTTCTAGGCTACCTATGGCTTTTCATTTGTTGCAGTCGATATGGTTGCAGAGCTCCGCTGTGGTTTTTGCAAACAGTTTAGGTCTTTTGGATACGCCTTTTACGTAAAACACCAGCCTCATATTAGATAGAAATTATTTACCTTGTCATTATTTAATTATACGAAAAAATATTACGGTCACATAATGAAAGCCGATATCATCGTGCTATGAGGCTGTGGATTGGTTGTAGAATCGCTTAGCTTCACGTTTAGTTCCGGGCTGTGTTGACCGCCATTGACCAGCCGTTTGACTGACCAATCACCAACGGCTATTTTTCTCGACTGGCTTTCAATGAGCTGTCCCGTCCATCCAAATCCCAAGTACTTTTAGTGTGTCCGAATCGTCCTTTACAATAGAAAATAGGCTCAATGATGGGTATGGAAATCAAATTCGCTAGTTTAACTCCCTTATATACTCTATAGGCATTTAGAGAAGTTAGGGAGGGCAGACCTTCTATTGTTTGTATTTGTTCTATTAAAAAGGCTTTGCGTATTTGATGCGGCTTCCTTGAAACATAGACCCTAATCGTTTGATCCGGATCCTATCACTCTTTTTCGTCCTTTCCTGTACTTCCCATGAACCTCGTGTGAATCATAGGATCTCGGCGGCAGATGGGAAAGAGGGATGGCTATTGTGCATATTAAGGTATCCGTTATGGTGTAGCGGCTAACATTATCGCCTCTCATCGTAAGATTCAGTCCTTAGAACGAGCCAGCTTGGGGTTCAATTCCTCGTGTCGGAATGCGTTTGAGCCGCTGCTGTTAACTCTTACTTTTAGGTTTTGACTATACATCGAATTGGGCAGAGTCTTAATCTTAACAACTTCCTTAAGCCTTGCTATCTACCGGAGGTGGTTTCCTGGTAGCCTAAGAAGATACTTGGGGATTGGCCGCATGCAATTATAACTTCTTTGCTCTCATATAACAGTCTGTTGCTGAAATCTAAATGTCTCAAGCCGGCGGTGGCAGAGCCCGGCAGATACGGTTCCTCATATAGGTCTCGAATAATACTTATGTGATAATCGATGATCATGGATAATATCGACTAACAACTCACCGATGGAAGGTTACGCTATGAGACTATTGAGCTTCTTAGCCATCCTTGTGATGAGACGACTGATTCATACTAGTTAGTTAAAAGTTAAACAAAACATGTTTTTTCGAAAGTAAATAAATTGTTATTGGAAACCGACACAGAGCTGATTCGGATGCCTTTGTAACTTGCTACGGAGGTCATGACGAAATATAGCATTAGTAAATCTTCGGAAGCATATATGCGCCTGTATAGTAGCTAGCAGCTTAGTCTCCAAGCGTTTGAACGGGGTACATGATATACTAGCGGATTTGCTCGCGTTCAGCTGCCTGCGTGAACTGCAAAACCCTTAACTCACTACAGGTCATCGTATGGTAGCCCTACTAAATAGTACAGGTTATGAGGCTGCCTGCTCTGCTGATGCTGGCAATGAGGCCTAGAAGGGCAGAAGAAGAGAATTAGGATAACGATACCCCAAAATTTTAGATAGGTGGATGCGTTGCTATTATGAAATGCGCGATGGACGTGCTTAAAAATTAGCGCACGAATGCGCATCCTCTTTACCGAACGATCCGCCTGGATTCACGTTCAAGAAAAAAATATTTCCTCTAAAGCAAAGCCTAAATTGAAATTTCTGTAATAATTGCTGAAGGCTCTTGTCCAACATAGATTATATATGACGGAATGCAGGACGCTTGCAGAAAGATTACATATCTGTAAAACGTCGCACAAAATTATTTGTTACTCGCCAGGAACATCAAGTCCTTTGGTATGCAATTCTCCCGTTTCCTCTGTTAATATCTTATTTAAATAACGCGGTCGAGCGAGGCATGTAAAGCCAGGTGGGTCCGTGTCACTTTTCTCTGTTAAAATAGGCGCAGTTTTTGGACTCTGGAGCTTAAGGAAGGTTTAGCAATAAATGATACATCGAGTACCCAGGTATTCCGTACCGCAAATTATACAATTCTGACCGACTGTCTTACCAAGAGCTTAGAGGGCCCAGCTTCCTGCCAGCTTCCGTGTCAGCACCAACAGATTCAATGGTCAATGTATACGTAATATCTAAGAAATATGAACTAATGGATAACCTCCAATGTATCTGCGTGGTGTTCTGAGTAGCATGGCTGCGTGGATGGTCGACGACGATGGCGATGAGCGACGTCATCGATGCCGAGCGATGCCGGGATCTCTGGGAATAGCCACGAAAGCGAAAGAAATCATTTAAAATTCGGAAGATTCACCTGTTGAGGGGGCGACCCTAGAGGCCGTGCAAGCATTCGATAACACAAGTTGGGTCCTGCGCTCCGCTACGGTATCATTAAATTCATGCACTGCATTGGGGTCAGTGAAGCTTAAAAAGTTCAGAAATGATCTGGTGCTATCATGGGAGCATATCTGGGATGCAAAAGCAGGATTTCAGGTGTCCAGTGTCGAGAGCTGACCTTGGAGTATTTATACTATTGTGCAAGAGCCATCATCCTTGTAAAGCTGCAGCTCTTCAATGAGTCATAAAACACACTGCATAACTCTCCGGACGCGCTGACTGAGTTCCTGTGTCCTATAACGTCATTAAGCATGCTATGTTGACTCTTAATACTGTATCAGCCTCTGAATGAATTACGGAGCCGTTGGAGAATATCTCTGACTCATAATAAATACTAAAATTGACTCGTCACATTGGTTTTATCTTTGCGAGTCATCAATGTATGCAGAAAACTATGCTTTTGGAGCCGTAGGAAGATTGAACTGACTCGTTCAGAGTCATCCCTAGAAGCCTCAATTAAAGCATTGACTCAAGGACAGAGTATATAAGGTGAGAAGGAATGGCAGCTTAACGAAACAGCAAAGTTTGTAGAAAGCTTAGGATACGAGTTATAGTCGTGGGAATGCGTAGGATCAATGTTTGTCTGAACGTGAGGGAAAAGCGCTCCAAAATATGCGCTGGTTTCGAAAGGACGGTTTAACCGCCAGTCGTCCCTCCTTCCGGAACCATAACTTGGTGTAGTCTCGGGACCAGACTTCTCACGGGACTTTCTTCCGTACGTGATTGGCCCCGCTGACATCACGTAACGGTGACGCACCTCGGTCGGTGATGATTAAGCGGAGCCAATCACCGACCGCACAAAGATCGTTGAAAGGATGGCCTGGTCTCGAGGCTAATTTGGTGAGTCAAGCTAGGTCTTTTCGTAACCGGGGACATTTGAAAGGGTCGGGCCACATCCCCCGTAAGGTATGTTGTTATTTTTTGCCTGCCTATAATCGCTCTGACACTTGTATTTATTTTTAATCGGCTTTCTTCATGAGATTATGTTATCCGCAGTGATTTAGTATTATCCGAATTCGACCATATGTCCAGTATTGAGTGCAAACTATCGCTAACAAAACTATAGCCTGCATAATAATCAAAAAACGATGTTATCTGAAAGATTCCTTCGATGAGTCATGATCCAACTGCGAAAGTCAGGTATCGATATTAGACAGGTTGTGCAAGAGCCACGCCGGGGCACTATGGCTCTTGCACAACCTGTCGATTCTGACAATGCCTGGGGCAATTAACACCATATGAGTTGTCGGGCATGCCGCCGTTGTAGTTCTTTTGGAGTCACGGTGCCACCCGCCGCAGTGGGTGCCAGCCTTTGGAGTGCCAATCAGCGTTTGGATGAAAACTCATCAGAGCAAGGGGCTCAATGACTCGTAGCCGCAGTACTAGTATAACCGGAAATTCCTGGATGGTATGCTAGCATCGGCTCCGTGGATGTGATGCATAAATATACTTCCTAGCGACTAGTAAGTAGTGATGTTCGCGGTTCGGTTCGAACCGCGCAATTCGGTTCGGTTTCGGTTCGGTTCGGTTCGGTTTCTTTAACCGCCCACAAACCGAACCGAAACCGACCGTCCTGAGAAATGAAGAACCGGTTAAACCGGTTCGGAATCTAGTGAATGAGAGTGAGAACTGACCAGGTTTATTTACATTATTCGTGCTCTGTTAGCTCCTATTGTATAGTTTTTAGCCATATTTAGAACTCCGTCTGCACTATTGTATAGTTTTTAGCCATATTTAGAATTCCGTCTGCACCGCCACTAGATACCCGCGTACTTCTTCACTGCTTTGAATCACATAAACGACGCCTAGATTATGGTTGGGACAGCCAATAAAAAGAAACATCTTTTGGATGAAAATTCAGATGAAGGTACTTCGAAGTATCTCATATTACCGTGAAATTGTTCATAGCTATCAAAAACAGAAACCGGCCTACAAGAGCAAAGAGCGGCTACTAAAAGGCACAAAACTCGGTCACACAAAGGTAAATACTACATCTTCTGTTAAATATAGTGCTCACATTACCCTAGGCTTGAGTGCTCCTACACGTGCGGTGTTTGGCAGGATGACACCGAATAAGACTTTGAGATGTTCAGTGTAGACATGGGGGCTGGATTGGGCTTAGAAATTCACACAGTTAAATTACGGAAAATTTTGATTCTATGAAGTATAGAACGTTTCTTAACCGGTTTAGTGTTAAGAACTAGAGCATATACCTACTGGAGGTCTAGACGAAGACAACCTGCACCCACATTGGCGATAGCTCCCACATCGCCAATTATGGACGGCACTAACTGAGCGTTAATTTTCCTTTTTCATTTTTCTCTTTCCTCAGTTGTTACCACTACGTGCAACTGAGGTATGTCAATCCACACATGTATTTTATCTTATATCTTACTCATGTATTGTTGTAGCTTTTACATTAGGTACAGTTATATAAATCAGTTGTTACCACTACGTGCAACTGAGCTTTTACGTTAGCTCTTGACAGGTTATGAGCCCTGTCTAGCGACATAATAGTGTTCACAAGATCTCACACAGACACTTGAACAAATCCTACGCAAAATCCAGAAATACTGCGCACAACGACGAACAATGACTGCGGCCAACAACGCATCACAGTGCCCAACTTTATCTGGTCCAGAAGATTACCAGAGATGGAAACTTCGGATCAAGAGCATTCTCAATCGAGAGAAAGTGGGAGACACTCTTCTAGGACGCCCTGTCACCGTACCACCCACCTTACTGGGCAGCTCCACGTTCCCAGCACCCGGAGACCGAGGAACCGACACCTGGGAAATCCGCGATGCGAAAGCACATGGCATTATTACCCAGTATATCAGTGACCAATTACTCCTCGACCTCGCGTCCGAGACTACGGCAAAAGGGTTATTTGACAGCATCATCAAAATCTACGAGAAAACCAACATCGGCATCACTACATTTTATACATTCATATCAATGATGAACCTACAGTGGGACGGCGAATCACCTATCGCTCAGCATATCTCTGCTATATCCGCCGCGAATGCCCGACTCACTTCGATGAAAAAGGGTTTTGATGACGAAATCCTAGCATTCCTCCTCCTCCACTCACTCCCCAAGAATACGACTTGGGAAAACTTCACCGCATCCGTCCTGGGTTCACTCCCAGACGGCGAAGTCTTATCGTTCCGCATTGTGTCAAACCGCCTCACAGCAGAAGACGTACGCCATAACAGCAATGCCAATATCGAGTCGGAAGCGGCGTTGAAATCGGCAAGAGCAAATAATGCCAAGAGCAAGCCCAAACTGAAGCCGAAACCGAAGTCCGACAAGTGGTGCACTCACCATAACTCCGTTTCCCATGACACGGAGGACTGCTTCACTCTCAAAAAGATAAAGCAGGA